CGGATGTATGGGTGTATATGTATATATATATGTATATGTATGTGTACACATATACATATGTATATATACATACATATATACATATACACATATATATACATATATATACATATATATACATGTTTGTGCATACGCAGGGTGGCAGAGAGAGACAGATCAACACGGCAGGGACCATCGGAGGTGCGTTGTGTGATTAATGGCGAAGAAAGTGTGATCAATGAGGCATGCACGCCCCGCGGCTAGGAAGAAGAATACTTTCAGGAGTTCGAATACGGCCTTCTGTAGCCTTTCTGTATCGCAGGCATCCTTCTTCGTTGTCTCTAGAAGAGAAGCCTCGAGAGTCGTTTCTTCCTCGAGGAGGGGGGAGGGGGGAACAATGGCTCCCTCGCCGCTGCCTGTATCGCAAGTGGACTCTTTGTCGGAGTTTTCCCTTCTTGGGGGGGGAGCCTCCTTGAGAAGACGTCCGTGTGCTCTCCTGCTGCCAGGAAAGCGGCCAGGGGGGGGGGGCCCCTTGCGCGCGCGTCGCCACCCCGACCGGCGATGTGCAGGGGGGGGGGAGGGGCCCCCTCCTCCGTGTCGTCCTTCGAATTGCGCCTCGAGGGGCCCCCCACCTTGAGAAGGGGCAGATCGCGAGGTAGGCATTATTTCATCCGCCTGCAAGTAAGCAGCAGCAGCAGCACGTTTCAGCACACTCTTGAAGTGTGGCTAGCCGTGAGCGCGGAGGCGAGGCTGGCATGCCTCTCTGTCTCTAGGAGAGAGAGAGAGAGAGGAAGAGAGAAAGAGAGAGGAAGAGAGGAAGAGAGAAAGAGAGAGGAAGAGAGGAAGAGAGAAAGAGATATATATATATATAGTGAAAGAGAAAAAGAAGTTAGCTTTGGGGTGAGTAGTTGGGATCCAGCTTCGGGGATGAGGAGGAGGGAGGGTGAGGGTGCCTTGGTTTGTTGGAGTAGAGGAGTTGTTGTATGATTTCCCTTTTGGGGGTGTTCGAGCGGCGTGGCAAGAGTCGCGTGTCAAGGAGGGGAGGTGGTCCTTGCCGCTAGCAGTTTGTTGAAGAATACACGAGAAAGGGATCTGGGGGAAAGAGGCTTGCGCATGTGGAGAGACGCGAGAGGAGGGGGGCTGTACTGCGCTGCTGAAGACTCACACGCTTCGGCTGGACTGGAGGGCATGCCTGTGAAGAAGCCATCGTCTGTCGCGGAGGGCAGTGCATGCATGCATGCATGCACACCTAGTCCTTACAAAGAAAGGAGCACTTGAACAATTGGGTGCTGCATGCCGTGTCTGCTGCCGCTGCTGCTGCGCAGCTACCTGCTGGCGGCTGTGGTATGACTGCCTCACTAGGCCCACGTTGCGCGTTCTCCTGCCTCTTAAAAAAGCAGCCGGAAGAAATGAGAGCGGCTTGAAGCTCACGAGGGCCTCTTGCAATGTCTCGCTTTCTTTCTGTTTCAGCAGCTGCCTGCGCTGCAGCTCGAATGCCCCTTGTTTCCGTGAGGATCAATGTTTGCACTACCAGGGCAGCAGCGCGGGTGCTGCGGCTGCTCGCGCGCCTTCGGTGTCGGTACAGCGCGTTCTTCCGGTGCGCTGGAAAGCTGAAAACCGAGGAAATTACATTCACAATCAAGCAAACGGGCGATCCGCTCGAGCGGCCAAATGCTCACGCCTCGCTCCCTCGCCTAGCCAGCTCCTGCCCTGCCGGAGCCGACAGCATACATGTAGGTACAGCTCCACAAGCACCCTGCTGAGGGAAAAAGAAAGCTCCGGCAGGAAGAAGAGAAAATTCCAAATCAGAAAGTATTTAGTTCCAGGCGGGAGGGAGGCGAACGCTGCAAAGTGGTCGAATAAGGGTTGGAGTGGAAGGGGCCCCCTTCTACCCCCCACCCCCAAACCCCCGGGGATTGGGGCCCCCCGTGAGCGGCCCCACACTAAGCGAGCGGGGGAGAGAGGGGGGTGAGTGGCTACTATGACTTCTTACTTCGTTTGCCTATATATTTATTCTCCTTTCCTGCTAGTCGGCTTGCTTCAAGACACACAAAACTTCGCATGAGTCAGTGGTAAAAGTGACCAAAAAAGCCGCGAACTGATACGTGAGGGGTAGAAATCAGGGGGCAAGAGGGGGGGAGGGGGGGGCGCTTGGACTGAGTAGAGGGAAGACGGCCGTGTGCTGAGGAAAGCCTACTCTCGCAATGCCTGCTCCAGCGACGTGTTGCTGGCGTTCCCCCCCCCTCCCCACCCCATTCCCCCCATCCCCCGCCACGCCACTTCCCACGTACATACACCGGCGATCAGGGTCCATTTCCTGACTTCTCTCTGCGAACTTGCTACGTCGTGCTTAACGCGGCCTCACCACAAATGCGAAAGGGTGTCGCGAATACGCAGAGTGCCGAGACAGGTTGCACAGGAGAGCGAGCCTCTAAGAAGTCTTCATTCTAAGAAAAGGCATGACACGCCGCCGTGCTGTATGCTCACCTGGCGAGAGGCGCTCTACAGCTGGCCAGAGGTGACCGCAGTGGGAGACGCATGCGCCACAGCGGGCTAAGCCTATTCGTGTTACGCCTTTCCCACGAGTCCTATGTCTTACTTAGAATGAGCCGGTAGTAAATTGTGTGTGCTACTTACCGACTACGGCATCTGGTGGCGTGCGCAAAGAAAAAGGCATCAGTGTTGCAGAGGCCGCTGCTACGATGTTGTGCAAATGCCCATGCATAAAGGTGTGGGGAAGAACTTCTAGAAGGTTTGCAACAACACGGCGTCTGCACATGCATTCTAGCTATTATCTTCCTCCGCCTCTGCCCCCATGCCAGGCCCAAAAGGGCTGAGAGGACTGCAGGATAATCGAAAAAGCAGCTTGAATGTTCCCTTCTGCCTCTGGAGAGGGGGCAAGGGGCTGTGGAATGCCGACGTAGGCTTGCTAGAGTCCACTTGAAGATGCCGTTTTCTTGAAAGGGTCCTGTGAAGGGCGGACCGGCGGCGGACTATTCCACAGCAATGTGTACATGTGTGTGTGTGTGTGTGTGTGTGTGTGTGTGTGTGTGTGTGTGTGTGTGTGTGTGTGTGTGTGTGTGTGTGTGTGTGTGTGTGTGTGTGTGTGTATGTGTGTGTTTGTGTGTATGTATGTATGTGTATGTGTATGTGTGTGTATGTGTAGGTATGAATGTGTGTATGTGCATGTATGTGTGTATGTAAGTATCTGTGTGTGTATATGTACGTGCATGTATGTGTGCATGTATGTGTGTATGTATGTATCTGTGTGTGTATATGCACGTGCATGTATGTGTGCATGCATGTATCAATCTATGTATGTGTGCATGTATATGTATGTATGTATGTATCTATCTATGTGTGTGTGTGTAATGCGCGTCTGCTCCTTGTGCTACCATAGGTGTTTCCTGCTTATGCGCTGCTGAGGGCCCTGGAGGGGCCCTGCGGGGCCCCCCAGGCAGCGGGGGCGGCCCGCGCCTCTATATTGGCCGTCGGGGGTTTATTGGAGTGTATGTACAGCGCGAGCTCGACTTCTGCCTGGTGAAGGAAATTGCCATAATCCAAAATCGGGAGGTTCGACAACTCGTTCTCCTCAAGGACGGCAGTCTTATCGCGGCTACCAGTCATGAGTATCTTTTGGTGAAGCCTGATTCAGAGTGCGCTTCGAATTCTAAGTGCCCTAGTACACTTTAGAGGCTTTTTGAAGGGTGTCACCTCTGACAGCATGCAAGCATGCATCTAAGAGTAGGGGCTTGTGCCTACGAGGCAGTGTCTGTCTGCTGGAGGGCTTCTCCTCCTTCTCAGCCTCACGCGCACCAACAACGCAGTTAACGAAGCACCCACAAACGCTGCCAAAACGGCAGCTTGAGAATACTTAGCAGAGTAGCGGAAACTCACGTGACCACCCACCCACGCACAAGGGAGAAGGAGGCGAAGAGAAGGAGGAGGAAGCCCTTCTTTCTGAGCGCTTCCTTCTCCTTCCTTCTCTTTCGCAAATCCATGCACAACTTTTCTCCCCTCGAAAGTCTTTGACTCCAGACGTGTTTCCAATGCGTTGCATGGAAGCACTTGCTTGCTTCTGCCTGCGCCCTCCCTTTCTTCTCCCCCCTCCCCCCTATTATCCCTCCTCGGGTTCTGTTTCTTCTGCTTCTTGCCGCAGCCGCATGCACGAGTTGTGCAGCTTCTCCGCAGCAGCGGCTGGAGGCTCTGTAACACCCCTCATCTGTCCGCTTGGAGGCTCTGAGGTTCTGCTGGCCGTTCAGAGTGGGCTTGGCGTGCCCTTCTGTCTAGAGACACTTCTGCCTGCTCAAAAAAATGCTCTTATTATCCCCAACGATGCCATCGCTGCCGGTAAGCGCCATGCATCGCTGCAAGTTCGACCAGGCGCAGTTTTGCTGCCGCCGATCGAACGCGAAGCTTTCCGTTTCACTCAATCGCCGATACACTGGAGAAAAGAGGCTCACCTAATAGCTCTCCTGCACAATAAGCGGCCCTTGGCTTTCTCACGTCGACCTTACTCTCCATAGACTCTACTTACTCCCTAGCAGAGTCTCTAACCTCCTCTCTCTTCTCCTCCTCTCTCCTCTCTCTTCCTCTCTCTTCCTCTCTCCTCTCTCTTCCTCTCTCCTCTCTCTTCCTCTCATTTCCTCTCATCTCATCCCCCTTCCCCTCCTCTCTCTTCCTCTCTCCTCTCTCTTCCTCTCTCTTCCTCTCCAGTCTCTTCCTCTCATCTCATCTCCCTTCCCCTCCTCTCCTCTCTCTTCCTCTCATCTCATCTCCCTTCCCCTCCTCTCCTCTCTCTTCCTCTCATCTCATCTCCCTTCCCCTCCTCTCTCTTCCTCTCTCCTCTCTCTTCTCCTCCTCTCTCCTCTCTCTTCCTCTCTTTTCCTCTCTCTTCCTCTCTCCTCTCTCTTCCTCTCATCTCATCTCCCTTCCCCTCCTCTCTCTTCCCCTCCTCTCTCTTCCTCTCCTCTCTGTCCCCTTTCTGCCGCCGCTAGTAAAGGCTTTCCTGTCGACACTGCATGCGTTCCTGGTGTGTGCCGCTCCCACCTCTCTCTGGACCCCCTCCGTGTGCAAGCCTTGGTGGCTGTAAGCCCCTCTCCACGACCACTCGTGGCATTGCGTATGCGGATGACGATGATGATGCAGCTACGTCTGGCGCTTATTTAATTGCCGTGGGAGCTTCTGGATCGCTATCTCTGAGCAACTGGAACTGTCAAGGCTCTCTCGTGCAGCAAGCCCTCGTGTTTCCTACCCCTGTTTCTGCCGCTGCCGCATTCGTTCCTGCAGCCAGCGAGCCTTCTCCTCAAGACGTGGAGGAGCAGCATCCCGTCTTAATTGCCGCAGCACACACATTGCAGATGCTCTTACCCGTGCCTTTCAGACTGCAGGTCAGTCAGATGTCTTCGCACTCCATGAAGGCGCTCCAAGCCTCGAAACTTTCGCTGCCTGCTTGTCATCAGAGTCAGTCTCTGCAGCAACTCTAAAGGCAGCTGCAACACCCCCTGGCTCTGCAGATGGCGTCCAACACATCCAGAAGGGCGCCATCAGACTGTCTACGTTGATGTGCAGCTGCGCAAACTCCTACTGGCGAGCCGTGTTTCTGACGCCCTCGGACAGCTCAACGCGAGCTTCCCGCTCAAAGATCCCAAGCGGGTGATTTGCACTTCATTCCCTAGCAGCCAGCGCTTGCTGCTGAGAAAAAGACGCCTTTTCGCAGCTTGCCTTGGCGCACAAATCGATAGGCGGGACGTGTCTTCACGCCTTCCTTCTTGTTGCCTTCAGCACAGTGTCTCCCACCGTTTTTTGCAGTGTGGGGCATCTAGAAGCATGCATTCGCAACACTTGCAACACGGGAGAGAGCCACTCAGTGCTGCAGTTTGCGTCTTGCTTGCAGGCGGAAGCGCTGCAGCACTTTCATCTGCTTGCCGGGTGGAGTCGCTTCGCAAGTTTGAATTTCTCGGTTGCCTTCCAGCACTTTGCCCATGCCCCCCTCGATCTTGGTCATTTGCTCAGTACGTTGGTGGACTGCAAAAGCCTCTTTGTCTTGCTTGGCGAGACGCTGAATCCCCTTCTCGAGACAGCCTGCACAAAAGTTGCCCAACGAAGAAGGAGCTTCACTGAAACTCTCCGCTTCGAATTTAAGTGCCTCCTTGACGCTCAGGTTTCTGGCATCGCCTCTGGCCTTCCTGGCTGCAGATGCCGTTGCTTGAAGAAACTCAGGAGCTGCTCAAGATTTCTCCCTGCGCGCTAGTGCCTCCCCCGAAGGATCTGCAGGATTTTGGTGAGCCAAGAGACTCTGTGCGATTGCCTTGTAGGCGTCAGTTGCGTGAGGCTGACGCACTTTTTAAACGGTAAACGGCGGCTAGAGCCCGCTGGCTGATTCGACAGTGCACATCAACATACGTGCACTCAAATCAGACTTGGCAGGCTGATTTTTTGCACTCAGTCACCGCCACTCTTGCAATGAGCGCGAGTGGCTCAGAGACGAAAGCGCAGGCGAAGGCGAAGGAACAAGTCCTCATCGAGGTGAATTCAAGACTCCGCATTCCCAGGAAGCCCGTGCCTGCGAATCTCCATGCATGTGCATCTTGCATCCTGCACACACCACGGTGCAACAGCTGGACCCCCAACACGAGCCATCATATAGCGCTGCATGCCGAACAGTTGCCTGCATGCAGATGGCGAATGGGGCGCTCTGCTCCTTTCTTCTGAAGCAAAGGCAGCTGCTGCTCACGGAGCACTACAACGGTTTCTGCAAATTCAGCATCAGTCGCTGCGCAAGCGGCACGAGCCCAGCAACAGCAGCAAACGACCAGACAAAGGAGCAGCTGCTGCTCCTGCAGGCCGTCGATACGATTCTTGTCAAGCTGCTTGTGAGGAATGTGTCGAACATTTACGTTTCAGAAAGCTTTTTATATCGAAAAAATACCTCACTCCTCCCTCACGGGTCAGGCTTCTTCCTACTGCATCACTGCTCTGCGGTGTACGTACGGGGGCGGGGGCATGCCGCAGGTAGAAGCCGACGATGCGCGTTGGAAGCATTTGCTGCTGCCTCAAGAGCCGCAACAGGGAAAGAACGCAAGGCATCCCCAGAATTACGTGGGATGCACATGCAGCGTGGAGGACTGCCGCCTGTTCCTGCTGTCTATACACCGCACGGACGCCCTTGCAGCCCTTCTACAGGTTCCACCGACACGCCACACGCACACCTAACTCTACACCTAAGGCACACTTGAATCCTGTACTACACCTCGACAGACGACAGACGCAAAACCTCTCGAGCATGCCCTCCAGTTCTCTTGCGAGTTGCGAGTTTCTGAAGCACTCAGGGAGAACGGAAGAGGCACTGGAGTTGCTTGCACAGCAGCAAAAGAGTATGCGTCTTCCTGGCCATCCCTCTCTCTATCCTTCTATGCAGCCACATGCATGTGTTTGTTCTGCTGTATCTCGCTCGGCATGCATCCTTTCTGCTCTCGTCTTCGAGCCTTCCCTCTCTGTACTAGACAAACTACTGGTGCCTCCATGCAGTCTTCCGTCTGGCTCTTCTTGCATGCACGGATGCAAACAGTAAGTCTCGGAGTTTGGGTGTGCGCTCGCCGCAGACTCTACAGATTCTCTCCCAAAGGCCTCAACAGCCATAGTCGCCGCAGAGCAAATGCTGCAGCTGCTGAAGCAGGTGCTGCAGCAGCAGCAACAACAGCAACAACAGCAGCAGGCAGAAGCGCTACTCCGGCGCTTCACGCCGCTGGTGCTCGCAGCAAACGCTCAAAAGAGTGAGATAGATATAGATAGATAAAGATAGACAGGCAGAGAGGGAGAGAGAGAGAGATATATATATATATATATATAGATAGATAGATAGATAGAGATAGAGAGAGAGAGAAAGAGATACAGAAAGAGAAAGACAGAGAGAGAGTGAGAAATTTATTTATTTTTTTATTTTTATACCTTGTCTCTTTTTTTTTTTTTTTTTTTTTTTTTTTT